GTTTCTATTTAGCATAGTTTCTATTTAGCATTGTTTCTATTTAGCATAGATTCTATTTAGCATAGTTTCTATTTAGCATAGTTTCTATTTAGCATAGTTTCTATTTAGCATAGTTTGGCCTGTTTTGTTTCCCTGATTAGTTCCAGCTGTGCTCCATGGTGTCTGCCCCTCCCTAATTATTTTATATGCATTTACATCCTTTGTCACCCTCAGTCCCGTTTTCACATCACACTGTGTTCTTTAATCTGTCGTGTACTTAGGATACTGTTAGCATTCCTCTTTCTTGCTGTTCCACGGTTTCTCTAGTTCTGTTCCCCAGATCCGCCAAGTGTTTCCCTGGCATTTCCAAAGTTTCTCATGGAGTTTGGCATTTTTACTGCTTCCTGTTTAGTTGCTTTTATGCCTCCAATAAAGGGCCGTTCTCGTTTTATCCCTGCCTGCTCTGATCCTGCATTCTAGGTCCTTTCACCAGCAAAACTGACACAAATATGGCTGCTGTGTTTTACAAAGCTTTTCTTTTCAGCACTAATTCAGTCTGTGAGGAGGATGCACCTTCATACTTCATCTGTGGTGCAACTCCAGGTATCCAAAAGTTAGTACTAGCACAAAACAGCAATACCAATTTATGTTGCCATGTCAACATTTTAATATTTATCCTTGTTCATCGGAGAATGAAACAAACTGGCGGCTGCTATCGTTCATATACAACAATTTGGCAGAAGATTTACTTTAAAAAAAAAAAATCACACAGTAATCCTTTTCCTGGTTTCATGTCTGTCTTGTTAACAATGTAATACAACTGCAAATCTTAAGAGTACTCTGATTACAACCATAGTTACAAGTTTCATCATAAAGATTTTGTATTTTTATATTTTATGTTAAGAAAATCTTAAGAAGATTAAAATTACGGGCCCATCTGGCAAACATGAAGCCACGAGACCAAACAGAGAAAACATTGCTGTAACGTTGGGATGATCTCTCACAGCGGAGAGCTGCTCTGAAGGAGCAAATGAAATGAAAAAAGGTTTCAGATAAACCAGAGTGTGAGTGTGATTGACTTTTACCCTGTGGAGGAGCTGCAGGACTATGCTGAGACTGTGGGCGAGTGGGTGGCTTGAGTCCTGGTGGGAGGGGAATCCCACTGGAAATTCTCTGTGGAAGGAAGCAGAACAGGAGAATAAGTGAC